AATCTTCAAAACACTCCTGAAAACCCCAAAATTAAACTGAAACAAATAGAAAAACATCTCTTTTCATGAGCAAGGCAACCCAACATAAAAAAGGAAGATGTCAGTCAGTTAAGGTGGGACAATTCCTTCAACATATGAAAAAAAACGTTCAAATTTACCCATATTAAAAATGTAAATTAAAACTATACTCAAAAATACAAAACCTTAACAATATATTCCATTTCTCTATTTGTAAGGTTGTGAAAAAAAAAACCACTCTCATATATCACTGATAAAATTGGAAAATGATACAAACTCTATGGAAGGCGATTTTGCCAAACCAAAATCCCTATGCCTTTACACTTTACCCCGCAATCGCACTTATGGGAATCTTTCCTAAAGACACACCTCCATAAAACTAAACACTATATACACCAAGTTATATACTGCAGCATCATTTGCCATAACAAAATATTGAAAACAATCCAAACGTACATCAATAGGAAACTGAAGGAATAAATAACAGTACATCCACCTACACAATGGAGTTATACAGCTATAAAAAAGAATAAATGCCCAAAGTATACCTAAGTATTTGTTTAATGTTTATACTAGACAATAAAATTGCTGCACCCCACATGAGAAAGAGGCATATTATTAAAGAATGGCTACTGAATTGTACACTTTTGTCTAGACATTGAAAAAAGCATATTACATGAACCCACTGCTCTAAATATTCAAACTACCATCTTCTGACAATGCTGTCCAGAGAAGACATTAAGAATGCATACCAATAAATTAGTTCAGAGGCTGAGTAATTTTTAAATAAATGATGGAAATAAACAAAAAATAAATAAATAAATGAAATGACATGAAGTGATTTCCAAGATATATTGTTAAGGAAGAAATGGAAGGTATACAATAATGTATATAGCATGCTATCCTCTATATAAGAAAGAAGGTAAGGCAAAAACACGTGTGTTTTCTAATTTTTATAAAATGAAACAAGAAGAGATACATCAGAAATGAAGGCTAACAGTCATGCATGAAGGTGGATAGAAATGGCATGCAAAAGATAGGCTTTCCTGACTATCCCTTTTTATATAGTTCTGACTTTTGGATCATGTAAATGTTTTAAATATTCAAAAAATAAAATAGTACATGCAAACTATAAATGTTTTACTTAACTTAAAACATAAATCCATATTTACTTGCCAATATTTTGAGCAAGGTTCAAGGCCTTGTGAGCATGAGTCTGTTGATTAGAATTTACCATAGTTTTCTTCGTTAAACCCTACCAACAATATGTTGCCTGAGAAATCCAGTTTGTTTTGTAAAGTGAAATTAGAAATTAAAGATAACTACAAAATAATCTTTGAGCAGTATCCTTCTGGTTTTTTTCCTATCTAGATCTTTATAACTTTTTCTCAGAGCTCTTACAGTTATTTCACCTATTTCATCAGCAATTGTTTTAGTAACTTGCAAATCAACCTAATTTTCACAGAAGTAAAATGTCATAACCAAATTTGGGAACAAACGCAACTAACTCTTGAAGGGCATACAACTCAAATGGTGAGAGAAGCACAAGAGACCACTAACAATAAGCATTCAGCATACCAATTCCTACCATCAGTCTTTATGTTTTTCAGAGCGAGTAGGAGTAGTTAGGTGATTTGCCAAATGACTTTATGTAATTTTTATGGGAAAATTTACTGGAAATAATAATCTTAATTAAATATTTACTAAGATATGAAACATTCATCAAAGACTATCAGCCCTCAGGTGGGTACTGTTATCTCTGTTTTACAAATGAGGAAATGGAATCTTAAGAAGTTAAGTACTTACTCAAAGTTATACAGTTATTAAGTGATGAGCCCAAAAGTTGAAGTAAGGTAGTCTGACCCTTAGAGCCCATAATCTTAGTCTCTATAAATAAATGAGACTTATTTTTAAGGCCAGGATAGATGACTGGTAAGACCTACTTTGAGATTCCTTCTGGCCACACTCTACAACACAAAATTTTGAGCCCATTATCACCTGTTTATTACGCTTGTTGGTAAGAAAAAAAAAATTGGCATTGTCTAGACATTTCTCCTCTGCTCACTATATAGTGTTTTTCATTGAAACACATTTCCTGATAAACCTTCTTCATTCTAACGAGAATTTCAATTTTATCTACCTCCCTTACTTGCTTATCAAAATGCATGCATCTGCTCTTAATGGACAAAATTATTATTTCTGGTCAGATTCTTGCTTGCCAGATAATATGGCCTCAAACTCTACTGTATCCAATTCTTATCAACATCTTTGTTATAAAGAATAGTACTCATAGAGAATTGTCCAATTTAAAAAACTTTTAAAATTCCCTACTGCTCTTATTATAGAGATTTAATCAACCACATAAGTCCCAAAGTGTCTTTTTAGAACTAAAGTTCTCTTAGTGAAATGCAGTGCTTTTCCTAAACTTGTTTTGCTTTTCATCTTATGAATATTGAGACTAATCAAGCGTCCCTCTTTGCTTTAGTTGCTAGAAAACTCAGAATCAAAGTTGGCAACAGCAACCATACATACTTAATGGCATGCACGTTTATATACCAACCTTTCCTTCGGTTTTACATTATGATCTTATCTTTAATTTCCTATATCCCACTGTCCTTTGCTGTTCTTTTCTATATTGCGGAATTTTTTTTTTTTTATAAACCATCTGAAATCGTTTTTGAAAGGAGGCTGGAGAAAATAGATTAAAAGGTCATTAGAACATTTAGCTTGTTACTTTGAAATAATTCTCTTCTTACCTCTTCTCTATTCCCAACATTGCTAAGCTAGTCAAGGAAAACAGACAAGGTGTTCCTTTAGTATGGATATCTTTGATGTTCAGGATTCTACATATATGTTTTTTCTCCCCATTTTCACAAATATAATTGTTAAGAAAACAGCACTTACCAGATAGACAATATGAAGGTCACTCTCTAAAACAAAGCCCTTCATTGCTCTTTGGAGGTCAGCAAAAATATCTAAAGTATCAATCGGGGAAAGTGAAGAAGAAAGAGTAGCAGAGCCAAGATGTGTCGGATGATACACCTTCCCTGATTTGAGGGTTGGGTAGGGGAAATAGGAGAGCAAATGTTAAAAATAAAATAAAACATTGTCTTTCTGTATTCCATAATTAATTCTCTCAGCTGATAAATTTTATAAACAATACTTTATCCAACGCATGGAAATCTATGAGCAGGCTCTATGCTAATCATCCGAAGTTACTGAACACAATGCTGACTTACTAAAAACAAATTGATACACTGCTTAAAAAATAAATTTCCTTTTATACTACTTGAAAAGTCAATTTCCTTTTACCGAGCAGTCTTACACACTGTAAGTCACTAAAGATAAAAAAGTGAGTAAATTATAACTGAGAAACCACTCTTACCTTCTGTTCTACCACTGGTTTCTGTAATCTGGATAAATTCATTTTCTAATAACCACATCACACAGGCTTCAATTGCTCCAAGTTGAACAGAATCTTGATTTCTCTGAATTCTTTGCTTCCCCCCTTCTTTCATACTTGCAGCCAAAAATGTGCAAGAAGCATAAGTCTGCATATCTTCTGATGTACTTGCCACGCCACCAACTATTATCTGATACAAGATATTTGAAAATTTCTATAAATTTTTAATAAGACATGCAGGTCCTCTTGATATAAAAGAAATGAACTGACTCTATTCTCTTAACATATTCTCAGAATCTTGATGTAGAGACTCTTTATGAACTCTCCCATCATCACTCATTGTAATTGCAGGTAACACCTAATGACAACATGAAAAGTTCTCTTTAAAACTAGTTATTCTATTTTTCTTAAAAAGAAAAATAAATGAGTCATTACCCATCTGGAATTTTGGAACTAACAACATATATAAAGGAGGTAGTGATGGCTCATGTCCATGAACCAAATCAGTTCTTTTCATCCTTCCTCCTGAAGTATATGTGCATGCAGGAATACTAATATTGAATACTTCCTACCCAGAAGAGGGGTGGGAATAAGTGCAGAAAACGATGAAGTCAGTTGTGCCTTGTGGATATCATTTTCCCATAACTATCCTATTATATATGCTAATTTGCCCCTTGCCTTCTTTAACTTTATATCGGACACATATCAAATCGTCATAAACAGAGCTATTTCATTCTTTTTAATGACCACAAAACATGATTTTACTATAGCCTAATTAGTATTAATAGTATTATAGGTTTTTCCAATTTTTTTCTTATTACTAATAGTCCTATAACAAACATTCCTATACACTTAATTTGATGTAATTTCACAAATATATTCCCTAGGTATAATTTCTAGATGTGAAATTGCTAGATAAATGGGTAGGTACAGTTTTTATTTTAGGAGGCTATAGCCCAGTTACCCTCCAGAAGAGTTTCTGAAGTGTATGAAAAATGCCTACTTTCTACATCCCTACCTATGTTATCAAGTATTTTCTTTTTTATCCAAACTGAGAGTCGAAAGGTCAAAAAGAATATGGTTACAGGTACCAGTATCATTAGCACTAGTACCAAAACCAATACCAAAGCATTCTGGTATACGCACTGGAAACTTTTCTGAATGGACATATGAAACACTTAACAGGGATTACCTTTGAGGGCTCTAAGCAGAAAAAAGGTTTTATTTTTCACTTTAGATTTTTCTGTATTGCTAGAAGCTTCTAATCATGTATATGTGTACCTGGTTTTATTTTAATGTCAACAGGTATTATCTGGATGGAGGAACTAAGGTCCATTTTTGTCACCTTTTCTTTAAATTCAGAAAATGATAAAAAATAAAAAGGAACCACCTGGCATTTGGTTTTTAATCACTGTTTTGAAATGGATTGCTACAAAACTAGCTGTATTAAACTTAAGTTGTATATTCATATAAATATATAAGAGCTCTCTGGAAAGTATCCAGCCATGCAGCCATTCTCATTATATTAACAATGGCTAGATACTTTTGGACAGGCCTCGTATAGCTATATACAGTCGACCCTTGAACAACACAGGGGTTAGGGGCCCAATGCCCAGGACAGTTGAAAATCTGCATGTAACATTTGACTCCCCAAAAACTTAACTGCTAATAACTTACTATTGACAGAAGTCTTATTGATAACACAGTCAATTAAAACATATTTTGTATGTTATATGTATTATGTACTGTATTCTTACAATAAAGTAAGCTATAGAAAGGAATATATTATTAGGAAAATCATAAGAAAAAGAAAATATATTTACTATTCATTAAGTAGAAGTAGATCATCATAAAGTTCTTTATCCTCATCATCTTCATGTTGAGTATGCAGAGAAGAAGGAAAAGGAGTTGTTCTTGTTCTCTCAGGGGTGGCAGAGATGGAAGAAAATCCACATATAAGTGGACCTGTACAGTTCAAACCTGTGTTGTCCAAGGGCCAATTTTACATAAATTCACATATATATAGAAAATAACTATAGATTCAGACTTGGGAAGGCTATAAATAATCTTATAAAGAAACATAAAGCTAAGATTTTCACATACTTACGTTTTACTTTAGGTAGAAAAGAGCAAATAGTAATTTAATGAACTCTCTCTTACCTCCAGAATAGCTCGTATCATGCTAGCAGTTACTTCTTCTCCTTCTCGTCTTTGCAGACAGCTGCGAACAGGTTTTAGAGATCCCTGAAGTAGAGCTATGCCTTTTGATTTCTCAGAATTCTTGCAAACTAAGATACTCTCACCTAAAACCAAAAGATATGCATTTGCAAAATCCCAATGCATTTCCATAAGATACCTGCTAGAGAGAATTTAAGTTTTTGTTTAAAAGTAGGTAAGAGATGATAGTTGTTGTTACAGTAATAAAATTAAGGCTAATGTTTTTATTTTTTGAACTTTGGACAGAAGGCGTCAGAATGTGCTACTCCAAGTATCCCAAAATAGGCCACTTTAGCATAAGGATTATTTTGAGCTGAAAGCCATTGGGAAGCAACAAACACAGAACCCTTTGTCCTCTTTCTATCTGCCTAAAAGCAAGACTAAATTTTCCTTTGTAAAGATATTTCCCCTTCCTTTTCCCATACTAGGCGAACAACCTTTATGACTGGAGACAAGATCGGTACTGGCTAGTCTGATGGTTGCAGGTTATCAGAATTCATTAACATTAGTGTCACTAAAGTTGGTATTCAATCCCCCACTGCTAAATTTGACTGGCTAAAAAAAAATAAAAAGATCGGTACTGAGCTTGGTCTGCACAAACACACACTACTAAAATAACCCTATCTTTCATTAGTTTCCCTCATATATTGACCTTCTCATAATTTACTGCTCCTAGAAGCCCAAACACTTTTTCCTTTGTCCTGTCACTTCTTCACAATTTATTGCCCATTGTTAAAATGTTATATAATACCCCCAGGTCTAACAGCTTTTTAGGTTTTCAATTATTTTCTGTGAAGGGCTCCATGTATATAAAAATTAAAGTATTAATATCGAATAAAGTTTATATGCCTTTTCTCCTGTTAATCTGTTTTTTTCTTCTAAGCATAGCAGCTGGTCCTGTCGATCTGGAGCAGCAACTCCACCTAACCTCAGGGCCTAGCCTGCAACACTGTCCAAGTACAGATCTCAAATAGGGGTACCACCTAGCCAGGAAATACACCCTGAAGCCCAGCCTGATCAGAGGTGATTGCAGTGCCCAATCAGCAACTCTTCCTGATTGCAGAGCTCAGCCAGTGTCTCACCTGACAGTAGAGCCCAGCCAGTAGCCCCACCTAAACTCAGAACAACGGCAGCAGCCCAGCTATCTAGAGAGCCAAAAGCAAGCTCTGTCTGCCCTGGGTTGTTACCATAGCCCATCCAGAATCATAGGCTAACCTAATTATTAATAGTGAAGGTCTATCCCTGTAAAAGCCAGTAGAAGTGGCTGTCTCCTCAAATACATAGATATTAACACAAGGACACAATGATTACAAAGAATCAGGAGATCATGACACCTCCAAAACTAACAAATCTCCAATAATGGACCCTAAAGAAATAGAGATCTATGAAATGACAAAGAGTTCAGAAAAATTCTCTTAAAGAATTTCAGTGACCTACAAGGATATCTGGCTAAAAAATTAAGTAAAATTTGGGAAACAATACACGGACAACACTCTGAGAGGC